TAGAGAACACAAGTTATACAATGTACATGTTTAGTATACTTATAAGGACGGACAGGTGGCGCAGTGGTTAGCGCGAGTTAGAATCGCGGTCGCGGTCCGACTCTGCCCCCATAATTTATCTGGGGGTTGATGAACTGAGTAGTGGATTGTGGTAAGACGATACCATACCGATTTACGCGGGAGACTGCTTATTTTAAAACACTTATACTCGATAAAAAATATATTCCAGCCATTCTCGATCCACCGATGGAGGCCTCTTCATGTCATATCACAGGAATCTGGAGTTTTGACCATACTTCACCGTCACTTGGGAGTTTGAGTTGGGATAGAAGTGAGGAATAATGTTAACTATTTTAGTTTATTTTTTATTGTACCAGGTAAGGCTCACGGAGCTATAAAACTATTTTTCAAAAGCGACCTGGTCACAAACGAAGTAGCCATCACGTGGAAATTTATTGCAGCCAAATACTCTAAACGCATGACGTTGATTCTAAATGTGGAGGGATAAACCGGAGGACCCGCAGAAAAATCCACGCGACCCCAGAGAGAGAGAGAGCCACGTGCAAACTCCAAACATACAGCATGCGTCAGGGCCGGAATCGAACCCACAACCTCCTGTATACCGGGTGAGAAAGTCAACGTCTCCTAACCACCTTGGCGACTCCAATTCGCATCTCCTCACAGAGCAGTGCCACCGTTGGGGTTTCGCGAATGGCCCACGGAAGCGGACATCTCAGAGCCATCTCCGGGATCTCTTCAAAGTGATTCTTTGGTGCACACAGTGGGGGACAGCAACTTCCCTCCCGCTCTGCGCGTGAGAGTAATGTTTGTTGGATGACAGCCAAAGGTGATGTTTTAATCCTCAGAACTAGAATTTAGTCAAACTAAATGCAGACTAAAATGGAATGGAATTTTGTTGTTGTGTAGTTATTGGTGACCGGGCTGAAGACCATCAACTAAATACACTTGAGAACCCGGTTTAATAACAACTCAGTCTATGGGTCTCTATGTGAGTCTGAGTGTTTATGTGAGTCTGTGGGTTGCTATGTGCGTCTGTGAGTCTTTATGTGAGTGAGTGTCTATGTGAGTCTCTATGCGAGTGAGTGTCTTTGTGAGTCTGTGGGTTTCTTTGTGAGATTGTGAGTCTCTATGCGAGTCTGTGAGTCTATGTGAGTCTGTGAGTCTCTACGCGAGTGAGTGTCTATGTGAGTCTGAATGTCTTTATGTGAGTGTGTCTATGTGAGTCTGTGGGTCTCTATGCGAGTCCGTGGATATCTATGGGAGTCTGTGGGTCTCTTTGCGAGTCCGTGGGTCTGCTGCTCACTTGAGTACCCAGTGTAATCACAGGTGGCTGAAACCTGAATTTTTTGTTTTTTTAAAGGTCTCAAAAGTCTCACGCCGGCGGCTGGCATCTTGCGTCCCATACCCCCGCCCCCTCCCCCCGCCCACTCTCGTGGGTTAACAATCTTTACTCAAGCACCCGTTACCACCCCTTGAGAGGCGTCCCAGAGACCCCATTGCGTGCTGGCCATTGTGAACCGGGCCACTCGGTCATGCGGGTCCACTGCACGCCCCAGTGCACATATACTACCTCTTAGAAATGTGCGCAGCCACGGCCATTATATGAAAACAAAACCCCCATCCACGCAGCACGGGAACCCCATCCCCCCCCCAGAAGATTACGTGTGGCCAAAGAGATAAGAAATCTGCGGCAGCCGTAAAAATATATCCCCAGCCTCGACCGAGAAGAAATCCGCGCAGTCATTACCAATAACAAATCTGCGCAGCTACAAGACTGAAACACTGACGCAGCCAAAATAAAAAAAGGAAATCTGCGCAGCCATGACAATGCGAAATAAGGGCAGCTGTGAGCAATACCGCAATGGCATTAGCCAAACATCCCAATGTAGCAGGGCCCTCCTGAAATTTAGTCTTCAGACTCAGTGAGGCTTTGGAGCATCGGTCGCGGTGAAGAGCGCTTGTTAGGCGGCGAATCTTCGCCCCCCGTCTTGTAACGTGGAATTGTCACCCGCTGCTCCGAGAAGCGGTCACCCTTGGAGTCGGAGCGGTGGCAGAGTGGTTAGCACACTACGCTATGAACCTGGCTCCCTAGAGTTCGACTCCTGCCTACGTCCACCATCAGTGGCGAGTAATATCTGGACCCACAACTCCACCCTTCGCCCAAGCTGCACTGATCATCGCGGTGAAGTATGGTCAAAACAACCGAGCATGACCAACAAGGTGTGGGGGAGGTCTTCATCCAGCAGTGGATTGTTTGGAAACACGAGGACCGGGTCACCAGGTCACCCACGTGCAGTGTTTGACGGAGGTCATCCCTTAAAATAAAAACACACGTGGGCTCCCTCGAGAAACGGAGAACGGCCCAAGCATTTGTGGAATTCTCGAAGTTCAGGTAGCTCCTTTGTAACAACGCGATCCTTTACACACAAACAACAACAATAATACTGCCCCTTTGCCCCTTGTGCCCATGATAATAAAGTTATTCGTGTCTTCGGTACTGTATTTTAACCGCAGTATTCTACACTGGGGTGGGTGGCGTGACGGTTAGCGCACGGTGGATTTTAGCGGCCGGTTCACAGATGCTTGCGTCACCGCGATATCCATGAACTGACTTGATGGGGAATATTTTTCAGATCCCAAAAATATAGTTGACAATTTTAACCTTAATTTTTCTGAAGCTGGTAATCTTTTTAATATGTATTGGGAGTCACCCCTGCTCATGCAAATTCCTACACCCCTGTCAAAACATTAAACGAATTTAGTTTCCAGCCAATCCACGAAAGTAATGTTCTGAAACAACTGTCCTACCTCAAAGGGTCCTCCTCTACCGGAGCAGATAGTATTCCCCTCTTTGCTCTATTAACTGTTGGTCACCTAATATACAAACCTAAAGCCCATATTTTCAACCTGTCCATCAAAGAAGCATCAGTTCCTCTAGAATGGAAACATTCCTATGTCTGTCCACTTCACAAAGAGGGCCCTAAAGATGATCCAAATAACTACCGACCTATCTCAATTTTGTCCCCGTTGATGAACATTTTTGAAAAATTATTGACCTACCAAATTACAGTTTCCTGTCCACCAACAATCCACTACATCTAAAACAATCTGGGTTCCGAAAAAAATACAGCACCACATCTGCTGCATTAGACTCTCTGAATCACATTTTCAGTAGCCTTGATAATAAGCAGTACTGTGCCTGTCTTTTTCTAGACCTGTCCAAAGCTTTTGATACAGTAGACCACAACACCCTGCTTAGTAAACTAAGTTGCCTCGGTTTTTCCGAAAACGCAGTAAAATGGTTACAAAATTACCTCTTTTCTCGCACCCAAACTGTATTCACAGATGGTTGGAAGTCAAACAGTGTTAAGATAACAAAAGGGGTTCCACAGGGTTCCATCCTCGGCCCCCTTTTGTTTTCTATTTATGTCAATGACTTGGGCACTGACCTGGATCATTCCAGGGTAAATCTTTTTGCAGATGACACGATACTGATTACTGCTGGCCGCTCTCCGGATGACGTGATTGCTAAGCTCCAGGGTGATTTCAACAAACTACAACATCAGCTAGCTGAATTTTTGATTTAAAGCTTTCGTGACTGTAGTAATTCATATTCTTAGTTCTTTCGGTAAAGTCATGTTGAAGGGAAACAATAAAATAATAAAATATATATTAAACAATAAACAAAAAGATTTACCCTGGAATGTTTAATATATATTTTATTATTTTATTGTTTGCCTTCAACGTGACTTTACCGAAAGAACTAAGAATATATATCAGCTAGCTGCTCTTAAACTAGTCCTGAATACCTCCAAAACCAAGGTGCTATGGTTCTCATCAGGACTAAAGCAGGAAGTTATTTTTCCACAATTACATTCCTGAAATAATTATCAAATAGAGCAAGTCAAGATCTATAAGTATCTTGGGATCATCCAGGATTCAAAACTGAATTTTGAAGATCACATTGATTATATTGGTAAAAAGACAAATAAAAATTGGTTTTCTATATCGACACAAGCAATGCTTCCCCCCCAATGTTCCGTTTGGAATTGATAAAAGCTACCATACTGCCTCTACTTGACTACTGTGACATCGTGTATAAATCAGCCCCAAGTACTGTACTGAAGAAGCTTGATTCCATCTATCACTCGGCCTTAAGATTTACATTTAACTGCCCATATAGGACTCACCACTGTGATCTATACATTGGGTCAAACTCAACATTTCTTAATGTTCGACGGCTTGTGCACCTGATCTTATTTATTCACGATGTACTTACAAAAAAATCCGCAGACTACCTGCTGGATCTCCTCTCTGTTTAAAAGAACACATTTTACCTCAGGTCTTCGCTCATTTACCAGCTTCACATTCCCTATTGCCGTACAAAAACTGGAGGAAGGGCCTTTGCTATTGATGCCCCCAGGGTCTGGAATGCTATTGCCAATAAACTGCAACTTGAATCGCTACCAATGAGATCTTCTCTCAAAACTGCTCTAGAGGAGTTGTACACCCCTAACTGCCACTGCTATTCATTGGCATAAAATAAAATGTTTCGCTCCGGATGACGCTGCAAAGTATTATCTGTATTTTGATTTAGCGCGCTGATCTTGATACTCCGAATGATGCTTCTGTTGTTGTGGAGTAACTCCTGCAGCCAGCTATGGCTCTAGGATTTGGTTTTACATGTTATTTATGTAGTTTATTGTAAAAATTCGGTCACAGTCCCTGTGATCACTGTTACGTTGCAATTATGGCTTTATTTTTGGGTGATTTCGAAAACGTTTTTTGGTTTGGACATGTTTGTTTTGTTGTAGTACGGAGTTAGACTTATGGCCTTAATCTAAGTTTTCTTGTGGTTGTTGTTTGACTTGCATCCCACTGGGATTTTTTGCACACAGCGTTGGTGTATGGTGTTTTTTTCAGGAATATTTTGCTGTTTTTTTTCATGGATTTTCTGTTTGCACAGTCACATAGTCACCTTAAGATGTTTTTCTTGTTCGTATTTTTGTTTTTTTGTTTGTTGTGGTTGCACCCGATTCAAGAGCCGAATGGCTCACAGGGCAATACCAAAAATAAATAAACTGAAATAAATAAACTCTAATACCCGACATCAACTTTCACGGTTTTGATAATTTATCGCGATGCCGGTTTCCGTTACCCTTCATAATTGTATCTCACATTGTTATAGACTAGATTTTGGAACAGCTATTAATAATACAAATTATTTAACCTGGATTATGTCTTATTAAGCTTAATTTATGATTATTTCATTGAACGTAACATTGGTCGGGTAGTAGAAGACGTTTTTATAATCAAGGATACAAAGAGGACTGATAATCACGACATTTAGCGGAATGGACAATACGATCGCCGCGACATCGTACGGACGATACGGACGATACGATCACCGTGACATCGAAGGTGACGATACGGACGATACGATGGTACGATCGCTGCAACATTGTACGGACGTCTCGCGGGCTTGGCCATGTCACCGCAGCCCCCCCTCCCCTCTCCCGCCCAATCAATGCGAACGCAGGGGGCGGCGTGGTCACCACGGCTGACATCGGTGGCTCAGAGCGACGTGCCAACCGCTCCCGGCGCCCCCACCACTTCTTATTCGACCCGCACTAAATCAGCGCGGTGAAGTATGGTCAAACAATCCATCTCCTCCACCCAACCCCGTTGTGACCATTTCGCGGTGGATTTGCAAAGGTGTCTAATTTATTACTTAATTCAACACACTAACTACTAAAATATAGACGAGTATAACTTTGCTAGAAGTTTGTTGTCCAGTCGATAGAAACTGGCCACTGCCATAGGAATGTGGAATGTCCAGTACGTGTTCATGAGTATCGAGAGGGAAAGTCTTCAGGTCCAATCAACGTGTTGGTGTTGTGTAGGATACATTTTTTTCCCATGTAATTTTTGGGGCAAGTTCGCCATAGATCTCTGATATGTTCTGCCGTTGTGTGAAGGTAAACGTTTTAGGCATGGGTCCTCCTGCAGGGAAGGGCTGTGCGGTTCTTCACGAGCGACCTGCCGAATATACCGGCATTCTTGCGGTGGAACTGGGTTGCGTGAGAGACCTAGAATCTTACGCGAGGTTGCCGAGGTTCTGAAGGGACCCGGATCACTACTCGGTACTCTTGGGAGAGATCGGAACCACGTGGGACCTTCTGTTTGGAGGTACCTGGTATCCTGATCCTCTTTGTGGATCTGACATTCCTTAAGAACCCAGGGTTCCTTGGGGAGCCTGAAACAATACCCATAGTCCTCCTGGTTGATATGGGGAGACATCGAGTGACCTGAGATCTTTGAAGGAACCTGAGTTTTGAGATGGCACCTGGTCCTCGTGGTGGAGCTGAGATTATTGAAGAATGAGCTAAGAATGGCAGCCCCTCGCTACGGATGGTGACACGAGGGATCTGGGACAACGTAGCCAGACAGATGCCCAGGGCAGTGCCCATCGCGCCGTGCCCAACGGGAGGCGTGGCACTGCCGGGGCCGGCGGGTTTAGCCGCCAGGACTGCGCAACGACACGCGGTTGAGCGACTCGTGGGGGAAAGGCCAAGGTGAGTTATTAGTGGGCAGGAGATTGAAACTTGATTTTAACTTGAGTGGCTTTTCAAGATTATTTGTCGAGGCCATCCTCACGATACACGACATCGAATGTGTTGTTGTACTACAAGTTTATTCAATTCAAAATTGATTTCTGTTTGTGCACTGTTTTTCGATTTCTTCCGCCACGTCATTTTTGCGCTTAGCCGTTGCACTTTGACCTCTAAGTAGTGACTTTTGTCAATTTTGGTGAACCCAGATAACCCTTGCAAGCGATGCTCTTTCCCCCTCTCTTCAGAGTTTTCTCTACCCGATTCAACAAACTCAACCGTTCATCAGGCGCTCCTGAACAGCGTTCAAAGGGTGGCGGTCGCGTGGAGGTCGCATGGAGGTCACGAGACGAGGAAACCGCCCGGCTCTTGGGTCTCCGAGCCGAAAGGACGAGTCACCAGCAGCCCGCGCGTGCCATCGTCGCGACGGTCATTTTAACGGACATCGGCCACTTTGTGCGTTCACTCCGCGCGGCGCGTGTGTATTACCTGCTGTTCAATGTTATTCTCCCAGTTCATTTGTAACCGCCTGGTCCGTGCCGGTTCTTACGAAATCAAAACCTCGGATTTGGCCACGACATCACGGTGGCGAAGGCTCAGCGCCCCCCTCCCCCCCCCGACACGGCCATTTGCGAAACCTCCGAGCCGCCTCAAATCTTGAAAAAATTCCGCTTCCACCGCGGATCTTTGGTCGTGGGCTCCGAACCCCTCCGGTGAGGCGGGGACACCGCTCCGTTCGTGAGCCCTTGGGCACCGCCGGGCTTCGAGCCGGGGTCCGACGACGGGGGTAGGCGGCCGGGGCTGAGGGGTCTCAGGGATGCCGGGCCACGTGGGGAGGGAAAACCGGAGTCCCCGGTGAGCGGCCCCGGCTGCAGGGAGGCGCGCTGACTCCGGGACCTCGGCGCCGGGTTTGGGTCGCTTGGGTTCGCGAGGGGACCCGACCCCAACCCTGGGCCGGAGTCGTCGGCTTGGTTGTCTCCGTTGAGCAGCGCCTGCATGATGGAGCGCCTCTTTGTGACGTTCACTCCGGCTGCGTGGGGACGAGGAGGGATGGTCATCAGCGTCATCAGCAGCAGCATCATTATCCACAGCAGCGCCAGCAGTTTCATAATCATCATTTGAATAATATTGAGTAGCACAAGCAGCAGCATCAATAGTATCATCTTTTACAGCGGTGGTAGCAACGGCTTCATCACCATCATCCGTATCATCATTATCGTCCTCAGCAGCAATTGCATCATTATTATTATCAGCAGCATTTGAGGCTGAATCGACCGAGGCCCAGATAATGGTCACTGGTGTTGGTAACCACGAGCAGGGATCGAACTCGTGCCGCCGGGTTCGTAGCACAGTGCGGCAATCGCTACGACCACCGCACGCACGCAAGCGGGTCACAACCACGCGAGCAACTTGAACCGGTATCGAACCCCAACGCCCGCAAGTGTGGAGGTACCTTTGATGATGGTGTTGAACTCTTTCCCGTGCGCGGGGGCGATGCGCAGCGGGGGTTTGGTGCCGGGCCGGGGTGTCTGCGGCGACGAGAGGGGCGAGTCGGGCCTCGGAGAAGGGGGCCCTGAGGAGGGGACCGATAGAGACAGGAACCCCGAACACTGCGATCCCGACGACGACGACGAGGAGCCCGAAGAAATGGACCCCGGGGAAGGGGGCCCCGACGACTGCGACACCGGCGAAGGGGGCCCCGAGTGCTGGGGTCCCGGAGAAGGGGGTCTTTTAGATTCGAGGGGCTCGGGCAGGACGAGCGCCCTGTTGGTCATCGTTCGGCGCGGCAGGGGCTGCGGTTGCTGCTGCTGCTGCTGCGTGGCTGCCCCGCGTTGGTGGCCGGGCGTTGCCTGGCCGCCCGCCGCGGGCGACACGGAATCTCCCGCCACGTGGCAGGCGTCGTCGCCGTTGACCCGCCACGGGGTCGCGCCGCCCGCCGCGGCGCTGTCCCACTCGTCGCCCGGCGTGCCGGGCTCCTCGAGATAGTCCGAGCCGCCCGCCGAGCTGATGGCGCTGTCCAAGAAACTCAGGCACTCGCGCTCCTCACTCGACAGGTGGCTTAGGTCGTGGTCGGGCTGCTGCTGTTGCTGCTGAAGGGGACCGGTGGTGCGGAGGGAGGGGGGAGATGGTGATGTTGGGGTCATCAGCGTGGGTTTCAGCAGAAAAGCAAGAGGAACAAGAAGGAGGAATCGTCGTCGTCGTTTTCATCATTATCATCAGACGAAGAATAGGAATAGGGGGAGAAGCGTGAGAAGGGATCGTTAGAATAGGAATAGGGGGAGGAATCATCAGCATAGGAGCAGCAATGAGGTCATCGTTCAATGAAACGTCATCGGAAAATTGTCAGCAGCGTCGGCGGGAGCAGCAACATCGATCATCGTCACTATTACCATCACTGGTATCAGCCATCACCGATTGTCATCATCATCACCACCACTACCACCTTTTCCATCCCCACCATCACGTCTATTACAACCACTACAAGCACCCTCTCCACCACACCTCCTTTAATTATCACCGTCACTAACAAAGACAAAGATCCCCTGTATAGCTTTAACAAACTGTTGGGCCAAGTGCTGTTAGCAAAGGCCGGCATGGGACACGAGGCTGGCCAATACCACGCCCGGCCGCCTTTGTCTCCCCAATGGTGATGTTTACACATCGCACGAGGTACAAATTTGAGGCCGAGGTAACCTAGGGGAGGCCCACGACCGGTTCAGATGATCGTCACCAGCATTGGTGGCCGTGAGCGGGAATCGAACTCGGGTCGCCGGGTCCGTAGTGCAGCGTAGCGCTAACCACTACACCATCACTCCCCACCATCACCACAGTGGCGAGATGTTAACTACCTCGCCTGGTATACAGGAGGTCGTGGGTTCGATCGCGACCCTGACGCCTGCTGCTGTATATTTGGAGTTTGCGTGTCTCTCATCATCATCACCGTGGCTAGGAGCTGTTAACTACCTCGCCTGGTATACAGGAGGTCGTGAGTTCGATCCCGACCCTGACGCCTGCTGCTGTATATTTGGAGTTTGCGTGTCTCTCTCTGTCATCATCATCATCACGGTGGCTAGGAGATGTTAACTACCTCGCCTGGTATACAGAAGGTCCTGGGTTCGATCCCGACCCTGACGCCTGCTGCTGTATATTTGGAGTTTGCGTGTCTCTCTCTGTCATCATCATCACGGTGGCTAGGAGATGTTAACTACCTCGCCTGGTATACAGGAGGTCGTGGGTTCGATCCCTACCCTGACGCCTGCTGCTGTATATTCGGAGTTGGCGAGCCTGGTGTGGATTTTTTTCCGGGTCCTCCAGTTTTTCCCCTCCACATTTAGAATCAAGCTGCGTCGAGAGCGTTTGGCTGCTCCAAATTTCCGTTGCGATAAGCCACTTGTATTATTTTTAATTATCACCGTCAAATCCCCGCTCACCTTGTGCCTCGTCCACGCAGCCGCCGTGCCCCCCGCCACCACCGAAGCGTCCATGACCCCCCCCCCAACTCGCTCACGCAACGGGGGTCTCCAGCACGAACCCAGAGTCCGGGCGCCTGCGGGACATCACATCGTCAGACTCGCCCCCCGCCCCAAACCTCGCCCGCTGGTGGCTCCACGTCGGTACGAATGCGATTGTACCTCCGATTAGCACGGTTGGCAAACGTACGGTGTGAAAGAAGTTCCACATTGCGCGCATAAAATTTAGTCATCGGCCTACTCCAGGCTTTCCGGACCCACATGTTATCCAGCAGCCTGTGTATAAAAGCAAGAAAACTCGGGACCGGGTTCGATTTTCTAGGTCTCATCAGCTGAGTGAGGCTTTTATTTTTTTATTTAAAGCTTTCGTGACTGCAGGGATTCATATTCTTGTTTTTTTTCGGTTCAAGTCACGTAGAAGGGAAACAATAACATACTAAAAATATATTTTATTGTTTCTCTTCTACGTGACTTTACCGAAAGAACCAATAATAGAGTGAGGCTTAAATTTTGATTTAAAGCTTTTGTGACTGCAGTAATTCATATGCTTAGTTCTTTCGGTAAAGTCACGTTGAAGGGAAACAATAAAAGAATAAAATATATATAAAACAATATATTCAATTTTATATATTAATATATAAAACTATATTTTATTATTTCATTGTTTCCCTTCAACGTGACTTTACCGAAAGAACAATATATATTTTATAAAACAATATATTTTATTATTTTATTGTTTCCCTTCAACGTGACTTTACCGAAAGAACTAAGAATAAGAGTGAGGCTTGTTAAAGAAATTGTCTCGGGTCGGCAGTTGGCAGGAGCACTGTCTACATGCTATTTATGTCGGTACCCATATATTCTCCACAGGACGGTATCATTATTTTGTATACAATATTGATTTTTTTTCGTTCTGAACAGGGCCCCATTGTTCGGATAAATTGCTTTTTGGGGTCCACCTTGTTAATTCGCACCTCTATACAGTCGGGGCAGATCTTGTTAAAAGTGCCAACGGTGTGTTAACCCCCACCCCCCAAACCTTTTTTGGGGTACACCTTGTTAATGCGCGCACTAACCCCCACCCCCCAAACCTTTTTTGGGGGTACACCTTGTTAATGCGCGCACTAACCCCCCCCAAACTTTTTTGGGGTACACCTTGTTAATGCGCGCACTAACCCCCCCCCCCAACCTTTTTTGGAGTACACCTTGTTAAAGCGCGCACTAACCCCCCCCCCCCCCCCCATAAACCTTGTTTGGGGTACACCTTGTTAAAGCGCGCACTAACCCCCCCCACACGCCTTTTTTAGGGGTACACCTTGTTAATGCGCGCACTAACCCCCCCCCATAAACCTTGTTTTGGGGTACACCTTGTTAATGCGCGCACTAACCCCCCCCCCATAAACCTTTTTTAGGGGTACACCTTGTTAATGCGCGCACTAAACCCCCCCCCCCCCCCACAAACCTTGTTTTGGGGTACACCTTGTTAAAGCGCGCACTACCCCCCCAACCTTTTTTGGGGTACACCTTGTTAAAGCGCGAACTAACCCCCCCCCCCCCCCCCCAACTTTTTTTAGGGGTACACCTTGAAAAAAATAAAACACCACCAACCCCCTCAACCACCCACGCAGCTGTTCAGAGACGAAAGGAAAACATCACCTTGACACGACCACCGATAATTTCCGTCGCTCACTGTACGGAGAGTACACATCGCGGGGTGTGGGGGTGTGGAGGAAGAACCCACGGCTCCCCGTATTTGTCCAGGGGTTTATTTGTTTGCTTGTTGAGACGGGGGAGGGGCGGCCGCGGGTTTGAGGACGCCTTCATCTAGCGGTGGATGGAACATGGTAATGGTGAGGACGACGATGATGATGATGATGCGTTGGTAGTGCTGGCTGGTTTGTGGTTGGTGGATGCCTGTGATCCCAGCGGCTAGGGGCGGCAGTAAGTAGTGATTGAAGGAAGCCTCTGTAATTCACCTCTCCCATCTCTTATCGTGTCTCAAAAGTCAATGCCGCGCACGAATTGACGCAGCCGCGACAACTCTACCTTGGCAGACAACGCACGGGAATTGTCCTCGCGCCACGGCGCATGACCTCCCTAAGTTATAACGAAGAGTCTCGAGACTTGGGCTCGTCACAGACTCCGCTCCCCACCACCACCACCACCGCCTGGTGTGGCAATTCCTGCGTGGGTTGGCGTGACATCGGCGCAAGGCGGTGTGGGTATATCCGAGATGGACGGGGGGCCGCGTGCCTTGCGAGGTTTTCTGGCGAAGGCAATTGCCAAAGCACTTGAAATCTTACAGCGGGACTCAAGGTCATGATGAAACTATTTATAAAACTATATGTATTGTTTTATTTGACCAGGTAAGGCCCACTGAGCTACGTAGCTCTTTTTGAGAAACAGACCTCGTCGCAAATGATATGTCGGCGAAGTGGCTTATCGCGTGGAAATGTACAAAAGCCAAATACTCTGAACGCGCGTAGATTCTAAAAATGTGGAGGGGAAAAAACCGGAGGCGGCCACGTGGAGAGAGACGGAGACTTCAAATATACAGCAGTAGGGGTCAGGATCGGGATTGAACCCACGACCTCCTGTACACCAGGCGAGGTAGTTAACATCTCATAGCCACCGTGGTGATGATGAGAGAGAGACGCAAACTCCAAATATACAGCAGCAGGCGTCAGGGGTCGGGATCGAACCCACGACCTCCTGTATACCAAGCGAGGTAGTTAACATCTCCTAGCCACCGTGATGATGATGAGAGAGAGACACACGCAAACTCCAACTATACAGCAGCAGGCGTCAGGGTCGGGATTGAACCCACGACTTCCTGTACACCAGGCGAGGTAGTTCACATCTCCTAGCCACTGTGATGATGATGAGAGAGACACGCAAACTCCAAATATACAGCAGCAGGCGTCAGGGTCGGGATTGAACCCACGACTTCCTGTACAACAGGCGAGGTAGTTAACATCTCCTAGCCACCGTGATGATGATGAGAGAGACACGCAAACTCCAAATGTACAGCAGCAGGCGTCAGGGTCGGGATTGAACCCACGACTTCCTGTACACCAGGCGAGGTAGTTAGCATCTCCTAGCCACCGTGATGATGATGAGAGAGAGACACACGCAAACTCCAAATATACAGCAGCAGGCGTCAGGGTCGGGATTGAACCCACGACTTCATGTACACCAGGCGAGGTAGTTCACATCTCCTAGCCACCGTGATGATGATGATGATGAGAGAGACACGCAAACTCCAAATATACAGCAGCAGGCGTCAGGGTCGGGATTGAACCCACGACTTCCTGTACTCCAGGCGAGGTAGTTAATATCTCATAGCCACCGTGATGATGATGATGATGAGAGAGAGACGCAAACTCCAAATATACAGCAGCAGGCGTCAGGGTCGGGATCGAACCCACGACTTCCTGTACACCAGGCGAGGTAGTTAGCATCTCCTAGCCACCGTGATGATGATGAGAGAGAGACACACGCAAACTCCAAATATACAGCAGCAGGCGTCAGGGTCGGGATTGAACCCACGACTTCATGTACACCAGGCGACGTAGTTCACATCTCCTAGCCACCGTGATGATGATGATGAGAGAGACACGCAAACTCCAAATATACAGCAGCAGGCGTCAGGGTCGGGATTGAACCCACGACTTCCTGTACTCCAGGCGAGGTAGTTAATATCTCATAGCCACCGTGATGATGATGATGAGAGAGAGACGCAAACTCCAAATATACAGCAGCAGGCGTCAGGGTCGGGATCGAACCCACGACTTCCTGTACACCAGGCGAGGTAGTTAGCATCTCCTAGCCACCGTGATGATGATGAGAGAGAGACACACGCAAACTCCAAATATACAGCAGCAGGCGTCAGGGTCGGGATTAAACCCACGACTTCATGTACACCAGGCGAGGTAGTTCACATCTCCTAGCCACCGTGATGATGATGATGAGAGAGACACGCAAACTCCAAATATACAGCAGCAGGCGTCAGGGTCGGGATTGAACCCACGACTTCCTGTACTCCAGGCGAGGTAGTTAATATCTCATAGCCACCGTGATGATGATGATGATGAGAGAGAGACGCAAACTCCAAATATACAGCAGCAGGCGTCAGGGTCGGGATCGAACCCACGACTTCCTGTACACCAGGCGAGGTAGTTCACATCTCCTAGCCACCGTGATGATGATGATGATGAGAGTGAGACACGCAAACTCCAAATATACAGCAGCAGGCGTCAGAGTCGGGATTGAACCCACGACTTCCTGTACACCAGGCGAGGTAATTAACATTTCCTAGCCTCCGCGGCTCCCCAATCGCCGCGCAGCCTGGGGGCGCGTGCGCCGGCAAGTGCACGACTAAAACTGGCTCGATCTTTGCGCGATCCACCAACCCAAGGCGGCGGCGGCGGCTCGGTGTGTCGCCGTGACGAGGTGTAACGTGACGCCACAATAGCAGCGGCGCGCTCGGGGGGGGGCGGGGTGGGGGGCGCAGCGCAATGGGCGCCCCTATTGTACGTCTGTCTGCTGTACATTTCTACACGAGAAACCAATGAATTGGGCTATCATTTTGCGGCCAGATCGCTACTGAAAACAGAGCTATATCAGCTCGGTGGGGCCTTACCTGGTTAAATATTTGCAATAATAAAAAAATAAGTGTCTCGAAACGCGCAGCTTGACCACGAAGCGCAGTAAATGGACGCGGCTGTTGGACCGGGGGGGGGGGGGGGAGCTGTCGGCTCCGTGTTGGGTGTCACACTATTTGCATGAGCGTGGTTGGGGGGGGGGGGCTCGAGGTTTACTTCCCCCTTGGCAGAATCACAACCCTCTTCGTTTCCGATCTGGCGGGGAAGGCGGCGGTGGGTAGTGGATCAAGTCGGGCGCCGACTGATTTGGCTCTTCGGCGAGGTTATCATCTCTCTCGTCTGGTGGGGTCCATGGCGATGTGATGATGACGAGGGTGCTGCTGTTGATGAGGATTACGGTGGCGATGATGGTGACCGCTGATGATGACGAAAATTGTCACGATTCCGATGCTGCTGCCGAACATAATTACTATCATTAGGGTCACGATGAACCTTTCAATGACGATAACAAAACATTTCCACGATCATTCCATGGCTACTGCTATTCGAGACGACGACGATACAATGAGCAGACTATGATTATGTTGCGAACAATGACTACGATGTTACCATGGCTATGGTGACCATGAGATCATGACGAAGAACATGAAACTCAGACTTCCCCGTACAAAGTTAACTTGCTACCCCCTCCCCCCGACTGATTTCAATCTCTGTGCAAACGGCTCGCTCCACTCACTCATTCACTCACGTGCCTCCCGCCGCCGCCGC